CCATAGGAAATAAAAGAGGAGCGAAAGGGGAGTGGGCTTTTGCAGGAAACAATTCATTTGTTTGTTTGTTAGAATAGTTTCAGGAGTGTGAAGATCTGTCCGTGAATCTCAGAGACTCTGTGCCCAGCCTTTCCTTGCACAGCACCTCATTTGGAAAATATTTACATGGCAGCCTTCCAAGTTAGATAAGGTCTGTAGTCATAAATATTCCTTTGAAAGGAATTTGCTGAAGGTGAATGAGAGGAATTCACATTCGTTTAATAAAAGAGGTTTTGTCGGGACCAGGACTCTGCCTCGTGCTTTTTGGGGACAGAACACCTTCATCCAAAGACATCCTGTCCTTCAAACGGATTTTGAATCCAGCTTTTGTCCGTTTGGTCTCCTGGCACTTCTCGATGTCCGCCGTGTTCCTCAACCACCCTCTATTGAAAGAGGAGCAAACAAAAATGCTCAGCTGGCGCCAGCCGAGCGCGATTGTTTTTTTTTTTCTTTGAGACGGAGCGGCATTGTGCGGCGAGCGGATTTGAAAAGCCGAGCTGCTAAATCTCTTGCGCCGTCAACCAGCCGGGGAACCTAAAACGTCCCTTTTGTCACGGCTGAGTTCTCCGGGCCTCTTTCAGATTTCTTTCTCGCTTCCCTCGTCTTCTCCCCCTCTCCTCCCTGAGGGGAAAACGTTGAGTCACTTCTTCCCTACAAAGCGCCTTTTCTTCCTCAAGAGAAAACCCTTTCCAAGGCCAAGAACAGCAGGAGGACGGAGGCCGTGTAAATTGTGAGGAGATTTTTTTTTGGGGGGGGGGGAAGGAACTTTTTCTGGCTGACCCAGAGTTTTGTTTGAAAGATCTGGTCTGAGGGAATTTAAATTTTAGGCCAGTTTGGTCGAAGGATTGAGACTCCAGGAGAAAAAGCACCTGAGGGCAGAACAAGAAGCAATGGGTGGAAACTAATCAAGGAGAGAAGCAACCTAGAACTGAGGAGGAATTTCCTGACAGGGAGGACAATTAACCAGCGGAACGGCTTGCCACCAGAAATGGTGGGTGCTCCATCACTGGAGGTTTTGAAGAAGAGTCGGACAGTCACTTGTCTGAAATGGTGAATGGCACTCTTGGCGAACTTTTTCGGCACCGAGTGCCCAAATGGAAATGTGCGTGCATGCGTGCACGCCGGAACACCGAAAACCCGAAGACTGGTTTTCGGGTCTCTTGCAAGCATGTGGGAGACACACCTGCATGTGCAGGGGGTGGGGGGTCATGTGTGCATGCATGCATGCATGGGGGAAGGCGGGAGCATGGGGTGTGCGGCATGCTGCTCCCTGTGGCCCATTTTTGGTTCCAGGAGGCTTCGGGGTGGGGCCCCTGCTAGCTCCAAAAGCTGGGGCTGGGGGTCGCACACATGTGGGGGGGAGTGAACATGCTCCGTGGGGGGGGAATGGGAGTGTGGGGGAATTGCGCAGGGGGCCAGGGCGCATTGCATTATTGGCATGGTTTCGTGTCTGTGCGAGATTTCGAGCTATGTGGAGAATGGAATGGAAGAACAGAATAGAACAGAACAGAATAGAATAGGGAATAGGAATATAGAAGGGAAGGGAAGAAAATAGAAAAGTGAAGTAGAATAGAATAGAATAGAAATTAGGAATAGAATAGGGAATAGAGTAAAAAATAGAATAGAGTAGAATAGAAATAGAAATAGAAATTAGAAATAGAATAGAATAGAATAGAATCGGCACACGAGGAGAAAAAAGGTTAGCCATCCCTGGTATAGGATCTCCTGCTTGACGGGGCTGGACTAGAAGACCTCCAAGGTCCCTTCCAGCTCTGTTACACTATATTCTGTGTGTTTTATTGCTGGCCAAGCCATTTCAAATCTCTTTCCCGTTTAAAACATGGCTAGGAGGTCGGGGCCATCCATCCATCCCCACCTGTGTAGTTCAAACGCTTTGAAACGCATCCTTTCTGAACGGAGCTTCCCTTGCCATTAAGGCAGGAGGGTTCAAATCTGAGCTCCCGGCACCAGGGTCGTTGGGGGTGTGTGTTGCCTGCATGCATGGGGAGGGTGTCGCACACGCATTGAGTGTGCGCACACAAGGACTATCACTGCGGTAGGGTCTCCTGGCTGAGCGAGGGGGGGTTGGACTAGAAGACCTCTGAGGTTCCCTTCCAACTCGGCTCTTCTGCTTTCTCCCAACAGCGGATGTCGCGCGATCCATGGGAGCCAAGATCGTCCTTGCCATAGACGTGGGCAGCCGAGACGAGACGGACCTCACCAATTATGGAGACGCCCTTTCCGGATGGTGGCTGCTGTGGAAACGGTGGAACCCCTTAGTGGAGAAAGTGAAGGTGAGGTCGTAGGTCGAGGACCTAGTGGTTTTTGAAGGGAGGCCACACAAAGGCAGCTTGACTCCCCCTGTTTGCAGTAAGCTGGTCCTCTATTTACAACCTCCTTCGTTTAGTGACTGCTCAAAGTTACAGCAGCTCCGAAAAAGTGACTTATGACTGGTCCTCCATTTACAACCATTACAACATTCCCCACGGTCACATGAAAATTCAGGTGCTTGGCCAAAGGATTGTATTTTATGACGGTTGTGGCGTCCCAAGGTCTCATGGTCTCCATTTCCTACCATCATCCCAACCATATTTGCTTAACACCTTCATGATTCACTTAACGACCACACTGATTTGCTTAACAACTGTGTCCAAAAAGAAAAAAGCTTGTAACATCCCGTGCAACTCATTTAACGACCGTCCTGCTTAGGTATGGAAATTCTGCTCCCCATTGTTGTCATAAGTCAAGGACTAAGTGCAACGATCTCCCACTCTCTGTTCCGACCGAGGCTTCCCGAGAGACTGAAGCCAACTCCTCGTCCCAACAAAAAACCCTTTTATTAGTTTCCTATGAATTCTGCTCATTCCCATCCAGCAAAGTCTTTTGAGGGAGGATTTACGGTCACAGACCTTCTCTGGTTTGGAGAGCTGCCAGGCCGATCTCTGCAGAATTTGGCAAGGACCCTTGGAGAGTCACGAACCAATGAAGCAAACTAATGGTCTCCTGCAAACACCACTCCCCTTTCGCTCCTCTTTTATGTCCTCTGAGAGGGGCCATTCATTGACCACCTGTGGCCTTACTCCCAGGTCGACCGCTGTTCTTTAGCTGTTCCCTTCATCTGGTAACTCTGCGCATAAGCACACTGGGAACAGGCTCCAGCTGTTCTTCTGCCCCACTGATGTCTGACTCTG